CGACAAGGCGATGGTCTTTCCTGCCTCCTGTTCAACATTACGCTAGAAGGTGTTATGAAACGTGCGGGCTTTAACATGCGGGGCACGATCTTCAATAAGTCCAGCCAGTTCATTTGCTTCGCATTGTCGGTCCGTAGCGGAGCAATACACTAGGCTGAAACGTGAAGCAGAGAAAGTTGGATTAAAGGTGAATACGTCGAAGACAAAGTACCTGTTAGCTGGAGGAATTGAGCGCGATAGGGCTCGCATAGGCAGAAGCGTGACAAAAGACGGAGGTCATTGGTGACGTCGGATAACAGCTGCAGCAGGGAAATTCGTAGACGCATAATTGCCGGAAGTCGTGCTTACTACGGACTCCACCTCCACTCCTCCTGTATGGAGGAGAAGGAGAAGGATGAACCACGAGCTGGCGCAACTCTATGGCGAACCTAGTATCCAGAAAGTCGCAAAAGCTGGACGGGTACGATGGGCGGGATACGTTGTAAGAATGCCGGACAATAATCCCGCAAACAAGACGCAAAGAAGCACAGCGAGCAAGGTGGTTAGACGAAGTGGAGCAAGATCTAGGAAGTGTGGGACGGTGCAATCCTGAGGGACGTTGGACCAGGAAAAAGAAAAGGAAATGAACGGATCGTTCCATTTCACTTTACCCCATTCCACGTTTGAGAAATTTTTAGTATGCCCGTCGTGCAAATTAGTGGGGTTCAAACTAAAAAGTGTTCAGATTAAAAACGGTCAGATTACCGGAGGTCCACGGTAGTACGTTTAAAGTTTAGCGTATGGCAGCATTTTCTCGCCATTATATTATCTAGCAGCAGAGATATAGGGGGCGCATTTTGTACGCTATGGGTATTTTACCCCATTTCCTCTACAAGAAAGGCAAAAGTGTGAATAGCATAGCATAGCATAGCATAAACCAGGTTGCACAATGTCGTAGGTGGTACGAGCTTCAAACTGTTGTTAAGAAGGAGACCCACCTTCATCCGTTGCTGTTAGATAGTAATTTGTGATTAATTACTACCTCTTAGATAAAGGATGTGTCTCCCTCCAACAGACCAGAGCTTTCATGGCCACGTCCTTGCATCTGGTGGGAGGAATGTTAGTCCGACACTTACTTAAGAGAGATGCAGAGAACTCTACGACCCCTCATAAGTGTCACGGGAAGGGTGGATTTTTATTAGTAGGGAGGGTAAGCCATATGATACGCCCAGCCGGCGTTGCTGGCAATCGTTATATCAAGCATTTAATCAATAGAAGCTGTAAGTAGTTTATGTGTCCGTTGTTGCTGCCCATTACCTAAACATATTATTCAAAACAGTCTTCAGATTTTGGAATTAAGAAACGTTATCAGCTCGATCCTGTTGCTCCTTTGTGCCAGAAAATGTTTGTTGATCCTAAATATAGGCACAATTCATTCTGATCGATAGGAGGTTCTCACGAGTAAAAGGTTATTAATAGTATGTGGAATCGTAAATTAGAATGAAGATCCGCCCTTGGCCTAACTCCCACTGTCTGACAGTGGCATTATGGATAAAATCTGCCTGCAATCATTTCTTATGAATGCAATAAGCTTGAACCCGGGAGTTAGAAGGTGACAGCTCTACCGCAGCTATGTTCACACATGATAAGCCCCTCTCCAATACATTATCGATGCAAATATACACCATTGATAATGTACTGAAACATTCAATCAAGCAGTAGAGCAATACTTGATTGACGCGTATTTAGTAAGTTTTGAAATGATCGTCTTGAATTAGATAGATACTTCCCATCAAGGACAGAGGAACAAAAAGGTAAATAAACTTAGCTGAGCTTAGCTACGCGTAGTTTAGAACAGCCGGCACCACATGCAATGGATAAAAATTTGAAAATTTTCACTTAATGCACTTTTCAACATCACTGTACTTTCAAATTTACACTTTTTAAAAATGAAATTGTAAATTTATAACATTGTCACTAGAACGAAAACGACGCAGCAAAACAAAAACACGTCATTTTCGCAGCGCGGCCTACTTCGATCTCCAGAAAGGCAAAAGTGTGAATGAGCATTTATTCGGTTGCTTTCTGTAACTGGGTAAAAACAACTTATTTTTTAAAATATTATAATGAGATTTAATCTGAGATTTGAATAATTTTAAAATCATTAAATAAAATGAAAATTACTTATTTGGAGATGCTTATTATCAGACTATGCATGATGACGTATGTTTCAATACAGAAACTAAAATTTCCAAAAATTTAGCTTGAATTTGTGGAATAAAACAAATGTGCTTGGAACAACATTATAAGCTAATAAATCATTCAAGAAATGTAATGTTTCTTGTCTTGAAGTTTTTGGAAGCTAACTTTTTTCGTTAAATTTCCCATGTTCATCACTTGTTGGTACTTTTATTAATTATTTTAAACGATTCTCGAAACGAAACAAAGGCACTCGACAAGGCTCACCAAGTATGTCAGCAACGTTACGGTGCAGCAAAGATATTTTTCACTAAATAACGGCTAAAAATGTACCCATTATTGTTCCCTGAACAGGTTTCGAAAATGGATGAAAAAGTACCCACAATTTGAAATTTTCATTAAAGTATTTTTGGACAGTTTCATGCAGTACCCGAAAAATCTGGGATGGGATTTGACAATACGGTAGCGATTTCGAGCCAATTTGCTGTCAAATCCGAGCCAGTTTCTGATTGGTCGATTTGACAGTAGCAATCGTGGAATAGAAACGGCAGAGCGATTGCATCAATCTGGCTGGCAGTGGTGCCAGAATCAATGTAGACGTCAGTGGAGATGTTAATTGTTTATATTTGCGAAAGGAAAATTGAAAAATTGAGTGCACTGCGTGTTTTAAGCGATGGATATTGTTGTTTGTTTATGGTTGTTTTTATTGTGTTGAGCAAAAATGATGTACAAGCTTCTAAACTAGAATCTCCGATATTTTACATTCCTGGGATCATTGACCAACTCTGTCAAATACCACGCACAACTTTCCGAAATGCAAAAACATTAAAAAGAGTGAGAAGCTCGATTGTCAAGTCCCGTCTCGGCTAAAAAATGGGTACTCGCCAGTGCATATCTCGGATATGAGACTGTTCTGATTTAGAATCTCGATGTGTTTCCATCCCGCCAGCAATTTCCCGGCTGCAATCCGACCTAAAATTCAAAACTCCGCTCAATCGGGGCCGGTATCGATGTTAAATCGAATCATAAAGGGTAAACAAATCAATAGTATGTAAATTTTTACGAGCACATTTCAAATAAAAGAACAACATGATCGACTTAAATGTGCACCATTAAAGGAACGTCATCAGGAATAGCGGGGGAAGTCATGCAAGGATTTTGTTTGTTTTGCTAAGCTTTCAATACCTGCTCCGACGGACTGGGACTGTTGAATCTAGCCTGGGGAACGGGGGTGCATCAAAAGGCACCCCGACGACGATGGATGAGACGAACAAGTGCCGGGAAATAACCCCTTTTATTTTTGCTTTATGAATACAAACAATGGAATAAACCAATCGAATCACGGCAGGCAGCGAAAAAAAAAGCGCAACATTCACATGAGCACTTCAGCGACGACGTGGGGGCATGCCCCTTTCGATAACGCGCCTCAAGTTCGATTTGTGCCAACAGCTCCCTTCCCAACTGGGGTGGTGTGAGGGTGACGGAATTTGACGAAAATAAAACTACACGGACGGATAAAGAGTGCTTTGACTTTTGGCGAAGGGTTGCAGGAGTCAACTACACTGGTCACGATAAAGTTATTTTTTTTTTGTAAATGCTAATTTGAACAATTTTCAGCACTAAAATCAACCGGTGGAAACTAACAATTAAAAATTGGCTCACTCTTGACTAGCCTATTGGTCCCAAGTATATCTATAAGCGTACCTCATTCTAAACGAAATTCTAGTACTACACTATGTTTGTTTTGATTCGCTATGAAAGTTTGACCGATAAAATGAGGGGTTCGTGGATTTTCCTACGTTCTTCGGGACCTTCTGGTCTTGGAGTTACCTCTATGCTAAAATTCTGTGAATGAGAGTCACTTCAAGAGAAAAACAGTGGAACTCGCATCACGGTTTTCGAAAGATTACCTTCCCTTTCACTTGGTAACAGAGGACTTCTGCATCAACTTCAAATAACTTCTAGCGAGCAAACAAATCAGCGGCTGTAGTAAATCATTTAATAATAAGATAATGTTTATCGAATTATCTTCACAACAAATTTTACAAATTCTCATTACTGATCATTACCAAACGTAGCCCATGTAAATTTAAAGCTCACTGATGGTGTATGATTATTTCTTAGATTATATTTTATATGTTATTGCAACACCTTTCGTTGAGCTTTCATAGCATCGTAATGTTTGTTTACTTTGCACGATAGATAGCCGGTTTGCCAGTTCAATAGATAGACTTGGCTTCACTCTTGGCGTGACTTATTATACACCGACCCTACACTGAAATTGTTGCATTGATTCAAACAATTCTAAAAGTGAAGCATATGTGTCCACTTATGACGAGTCGTGAAAATAAACTAAATCCCTTCTTCATTCAATTTGTTTGAAGTATGTTATGATCATTGATCCCATTTAAGGCAAAACAAATTATTGGTACAGTTGAAAACCGGAATAACTCACTGGCGACAATCGGTTTTACTCTCGTTCTGTACGTTGAACATAGTGTCGGAAGTAGTGCGCTGTATAGCGCATCATTGTGCGATAATTTGATAATTTGAAAATTGACTACCTGTTGATGTCCGATTTCTGACCATTTGCCACTGTTAACCTTTTGCTGCCTAGTGTATTTAATAACCCCGCAACACATGTACAGCTCATTGCAAAAAATAACAGTTTTGACTGTGTCAGTTGAAGCAACATTTTGCGCATTTCGACAGCGTGTTGACGGGCATTAAAATAAACTTTCTGCCATCAAAGTTTAAACATGTACCTTCATATAACCGGAACCGGGTCGATAGTTTTGTTTCTTCCGCAAAATGCAACTCACTTGGAAAAATGTGTCCGCCGCTTGTACATCTCCAGCATCTTCGGGTTGAGCTTCCCGTTGAGCTCGTCCATCTTGGCCAGTATCTTCCGATTGCGACGAGACTCCCGTCGTCCACCTTGTTGCTGCTGCTGCTGCTGTTGTTGTTGCTGCAGTTGCTGCTGCCGTCGCCGATCCGCCGTCGATTGGCACCGGTCGCCCGATTTGGTTCGATCTCTGGATACCGCGGAGGCTCGTCTGCCACTGGCCAGGAAAATGCTAACGCTCTTCATTATCATTGCTCCGCCGCGGGTGTTTAGGACCGTCGCTAGGCCAGCTCCGCCGCCAGCCCCGCCGAGTCCACCGAATGCCAATTTGGCAACGGATTGTTGCGCCTGGCCACCAGGGGGAACCGAACGGGAACGGTTCATGGTGCTGCTTCGGTTGTTTAGACTTCGGGTTGGGGATTGTTATGGAAACCCGGACAGTGTGGAACCCGAATCGAATCAAAGGTTGTTTGTTTGTTTATTGGGGGGGTTTGTTCGTTGGTACAACTGACTGCGGGTATCAGTTGTTCGTAGCACGTGGCAGCTGAAAGAACTGGGAAAAGAAATTTGGATAATAACGATAATTTAAGATGCATACAATTTTAGAGTCGTGAGTTTTGGATGGAGATAATTGAGTAGGAGGTAAGTCGTACCTAGTTTTAAAATATCGATTTTGCTCCACCCCGCTCAATCGGTTCTAAATTAGTTCTCTCAAAATATTGGCTCATTTGACCCTAAGAAATTTTAGTTGCGAATTACTATGGGGAAAGTGCACTCTTTGTTCTCATCGGGTAAACGGGTAAGCTTCCTTTCTGTTCTTACGTGAAATTTAATCAGCACAACTTAGCTGAAAACAATTTTTGATTAAACTTCAAGGTAATAACTTTGTGATATGATCAATACAGTGGTTCAAAATATCGATTTTGCTCCACCGAGCTCAATCCATTTCAAAACAGGTCCTGGTAGTTGTCCCAAAATTTGAGCATGCAAACCCATAGTGCACTGGCGTTTTAAAGTTTATATGGGAATTACTATGGGAAAAGTAAACTTCGCTGTAATGATCAGCGGAAAAGTTTTGCTATTTGCACGGTGAATAAGAACGACCCAAATTTGAATTTAGTTTACTCATAATCGCAGAATGCTCAGCGATGAGTAAATTTACCTCATGTTTTCCTGTGCAAAACCTCAGAAATCTCAAAGTTGGTTGGAAATGCTATCTAACATGAAGCTTTAGTGTGATAATTTATTAGCTAGAGAATGGTCTTAGAAGAGGGTAGGTAGATAATTCCGTTTGAGTACGGCAGTATGAAAATTGAATAGAAGTTGAAAATGAGCCATTGATGCGACAGAGAAAGTTAAACGCACACTCTTTGTCTAACCCGTACGATGTATTCGGAGATTTGAAGAATGTCTTCAAATCTAATGGGCAAAAAGTGTGCGCCTGACTTCGATCAAATACTGCGTGCGGCTGTGGAATAGTTCTAGCGACGTTTCATTACTACCTAAAGCCCCACGTTGCCGAAAGCATTTCCAGTCGATGATGTGTTATAATGCAATTCTCGCGTCACTTTTCAAATGGACCAATCTACATTCATCTCTTCATCGTCTTTCTCTTGCGTTAATAACTTAGCTGCATTCATATTTAGGGCTATTTTGTCTACATAGTCTGCTAAAAGAAAGTATTATTAAGCATATTGGATGATAAGAACAGCTTAACATATTTTTGGAGCCGAGTTATTGACGAAAGAGAGACTCGATGAAGAGAATCGATCAATGTAGATTGGTCTATTTGAAAGGAGACGTGAGAATTCTTGTTTACCCAACTATTGTGTTGCTCCTCTCGGCATGACCACCGTAGTTATCTCAGACAGAAAGCAGTAGGGTGGTTGTTGCGTTCTGTACCATCATCAGCATTGTTGACGGCTACTCCCGCCTTGAGTTGTTACATTTAAAGTGTTCAAAGTGGTCCCTCGCTTACTTTCAACTTCTGTTCAATTTTCATACTGCCGTACTCTAACGGACCTACCCTCTTCTAAGACCATTCTTTAGCTAATAAATTAACACACTAAAGCTTCATGTTAGATAGCATTTCCAAACACTAAAGCTTCATGTTAGATAGCATTTCCAACTAACTCTGAAAATCGCAAACTTCGCGTATGAGTCACATAAAAAACACTTTGAATGATCAGAAATCTGCTGGAAAATGAGGAAAATTTATGAAAATTTAACTCAGTCTACGAGTAGTACCAATATACTGAGTGAATCTAATCTTTACTTTTCTCATAATTTGAATATTTTCCTGGACAAATCTGGAAAAACCTGGAAAAACATGAGGCAGATTTACTTATCGCTGAGTTCCGAGTTCTTACACTTTATGTGATTTGATGATGATCATGATGATATGAAATTACCACTCATTATAGCAAGACAACTGTTGGTATACTGTAAACTATCCTCGCTGTTCGACTTGATCAAGTTTAATAATCTCTAATAAGTACTCAACCTGCCATTGTATGAAGGGCCAAAAACGGTTAGGGTGAATCCGTGGGCATCATCGCTCACGTGCATCCACGCTATAAATGAGAATCTCCAGGATCATACAACCGGTCAAAAAACAGACCTTCCAACAGGAGTGGAGAGAAGAGCCCACCCTCTATTAACGAAATGTTAAAGACAGGGAGTTGGCATTTCTACTCTCCCCATTCATTTTGCTTCAATCAGGTGGACCCTCCTAAACCCAGCATTTAGTGATTTATGTAATAATATAGCGTCAAATATAAAAAAGGTGACTTACTTTTATGATAAAGTAACTTGCATACATACTTTGTGAAATACATGAAAAGTTTGTTTCCTTTAATGTAAGTACTTAAATTTAAAAAATCTCTGCTAAAGTATTTTGAGCGTGCATCTCACAATTTGAGTTCCCATTAAGTGCGTTGCTATTCTTCTTGCCAGTTTCTTTACAATTCTCTGCTTTGTTTTTAATTAACCGAAAGTGAAATTTTACTCAAATTTTTTAAAGAAAACAGACAAATAAAACACGTCAATCTATCCAGCGGGACAAACTTAACGAATTTCAAAGTTAATACGTAATTTGGAATGTACCAATAGCGTACTATAGCGGATTTTGAACGAACCTCAAAACTTCCCGGAAGACCCGTGTCCCGCTGGATAGACATACGATTTCAGCAATGACCAAGTCGATCGACCAGATTTCTGTGGAAATGTGGACGTACCAAATGCGTACTTAACGAATCTGTAATTCATTTTTACGTAACTCTTATTTTCACTTAAATGCTCATACTAAACTTTTTAAATCGGTTTATATCTGAATTCAAGGCACGGAATTGAATTTCTCGGAAAATTTTAGCCCAATTTCATACAAAAAACATTATACTTAAGTGCATTCTAGCCAATTTGAGGACCAAAAACAGGTTTTTTTATTTGCATCCCTTGTACTAATTTCATGAATAACTATGGAGACGTACGGTGCTGCTTGGAAAACTCCATCATGAGAAATGCCTTGATAACTTTCTGATTGGTCATGACCAACGTACCTAACTGGAATTCATGTTTTGGTAGAATTTACCAGTGATTAAAATAAAAATTAAATTATTAAAAAAAATCCATTTTTTCGATGATACATTTGAGAAAACCTGATCAAATGATCAGATATCTTTCAAAAACTTTTTCTGAATATCCTGGTAAATTCTATCAGATAGTGAATTCCAGTTAGGTACGTTGGTCATGATCGATCAGAAAGTGTTCCAGGGATATTCAGGAATAATTTCTGAAAGACATCTGATCATTTGATCAGGTTTTCTCTAATGTATCATCGAAAAAATGGAATTTTTAAAATAATAATAACATGAAGCTTTAGTGTGGTAATTTATTAGCTAGAGAATAATCTTTAGAAGAGGCTAAGTGGATAGTTCCGTTAGAGTACGGCAGTATGCAAATTGAATAGAAGTTGAAAATGAGCGAAGGGCCGTTAATGCGACAGTATAAAGTCAAACACACACCTTTTGCCTTTTTTAGGTAGTGATGAAACGTCGCTAGATCTATTCCACAGCCGCAGTCAGTAATGAGCGGCGGACGCACCTCTTTTGCCTGAAGACTTGAAGACATACTTCAAGTCTCCGCGTACATCGTACGGGTTAGGCAAAAGGTGTGCGTTTGACTTTATACTGTCGCATTAATGGCCCTTCGCTCATTTTCAACTTCTATTCAATTTTCATACTGCCGTACTCTAGCGGAACTATCCACCTACCCTCTTCTAAAAAGATAGTTCTCTAGCTAATAAATTATCACACTAAAGCTTCATGTTAGCATTTCCAACCAACTCTGAAAATCGCAAACTTCGCGTAACACTTTGAAGGATATTAATGTTATCCTTTGTAGAATTGTGCCCCTTTGTAAATATATGTTCTGCAACCTTGGATTTAAATTCATTATGAAGTACTTTATCCATCTCTTTGTTAGCCTTTTTCACCACTAACGGTTTTAAATTGGCTCACTACTTGACTAGCCTATTGGTCCCAAGCAAACGATTAACGTACCCCATTCTAGTCGAAATTCTAGTACTACACTATGTTTGTTTTGATTAGCTATGAAAGTTTGACAGATAAAATGAGGGGTTAGTGGATTTTCCTACGTTTCGAGGGGTGAATCGATTAGCTTGGGACCGAAGAAAGTACCAGAGCTGAGCCAAAAAGTTGAGCACGTTTCTTCGAGACCTACTAGTCTTGGAGTTACCTCTATGGTAGAATCATAGAGGTAACTCTAAGACAAGTAGGTCCCGAAGAAACGTGCTCAACTTTTTGGCTCACCTCTGGTACTATCTTCGGTCCCAAGCTTGTCGAATCACCCCTCGAAACATAGGAAAAACCAATAACCCCTCATTTTATCTGTCAAACTTTCATAGCGAATCAAAACAAACATTGCGTAGTACTAGAATTTCGACTAGAATGGGATACGTTAATCGATTTGCTTGGGACCAATAGGCTAGTCCAGTAGTGAGCCAATTTAAAATCGTTAGTTTCGTATTGATTGTTGGTAGAATCCTCACGTTGCTTCAGAAGCCAGTCCTCTAAAAGGTTGATGGCTTACTTTACTGGTACACTCGGAAAAAGTGCTGTGTCATCAAATGAAACCATGACTTCATCTTCCCGAATCTTTCCTGATGCCTGAAGTTGAAAAAAGTTGAAAAAACAAAGTTCGGTCATATCTCAAGCTTACTCGTCTTTGTATGGAGGAAAATTATTTCATTTTTAGAGGAAATTTTTATAAACAAACTAAAGGTGCTCCTATGGGATATCCGCTTTCTCCATTTTTATGTGAATTGTTCATGGCTAACCTAGAAAATACTCTGGAGGATAGGAATT